TCAAAGGACCTCACACACCACTTATGGGTATTTGGTTTTCTGTCAAACAAATGAAATTTGTATGTTAATGAAGTAAAATTTTAATACATTACGAGGGATGTTTATAAAGTGTATGCCATTGTTAAAAATATTCAAAATTAATGAAATTTCAAAATGACCAGAAATTGCCATTTTTCAAAAAATTTTCACCAATCACCAGATTTTTCATAAAATTACCAAATCTGGTGAAATTTCACTAGACCTGGCATCACTGACGCTCCCGTGTATTATGTCAACCTGCTACGGCCTGTCAACTACGAGATGACAAGGCTCATAACGCAATAGCACCCGACCGGGAGCATCCGCGCGATCCCTGTGCTATTTTATTGTATTTACGAAAATTTCAAGATATCCTCATAAAGCCTGTGTAGATCAAATCTCAAGCCCCCCATTATGCCAAAGCAGCAGTAATGACGTAGGCAACGTGTCGTTTCTCATCACAGGTTATGATTCCGCGGGCTTTTGCTTTGCTTCATGCATACTTGGTTTTAGTACATTAATTAACATCCTAAAATAACGCCTTTTTAGTTTGTATTTTTCTCTTTGATTATTATGTTAATCAAATTATTACTTATTATTCATCAGAAATGTATATTCTAAACTATAACCGCTGGCGCAAACAGCTGAAGACGTATTTGATGACGTCGTCAATGGTGCTTTACAATGTGGCTGCGATTCCCAAAAACGAGGCCGATAAGCAATTCTGTGTAGTAGTGTGTAAAAATTATCTTTGAGCTCGAATTGCCAATTAGTTTACCCATTTCTAATGAAATAAAATACAAGATGGCGCTTGAATAAAACATAAGATGGTGCTCGAATTATAAGCAATCCATTTCAAATAATTTTTCAGCTACGACATTTCAAGTTTATTAAATGTAAAATTGTGATTATTTCCGGCTCTTGAATGACTGTGTTGATTTCGCCAGTTTGAACTTCAAATAATAAAAATTTCCTGTAAAAATCTAAGGAAATAAACTACAAAATGGCTCTTGGACATGCTCTTCTTCTCGTTAAAAAAAAGAATAGGGTGAGTTGACGTTCTGTATATGCAATATGGCGCCGTGGATATAACAAAACAGCTTCACATTTAATTCCAATTGAATGGGAATTGAATGTGAATGTATCTTTACGGTCTCAAGTTTATTATGCCCACGTCGCCATCTTGATTGAATTATTAGCTGATTTGAATTGTCTATTTAGTTTAAATGTTAGTAACGAAATAAGATTTAAAATGACGTTTGAATAAAATCATAAGATGGGACTTGAATTATGAACTTTCCAGTCCATCTCGAATAATTTTTCAGCTACGGAGTTTCAAGTTTATATAATGTAAAGTTGTGATTATTTCCGGCTCTTAAATGACTGTGTCAGTTTTGCCATTTCGAACTTGAATAAATAAAAGTCTAACCTACAAAATGGCGTTTGATTAAGTTCTTTATTCCGAATATTAGAGAAAAGCAAACCATTACTAAATGAAGTAAGCTAGAAAATGGCGTTCTAATAAGTCACAAAATAACGCTAGAATTATGAAGTCTCGATTTCAAATGATTTTTCAGCTACGGCATTTCAAGTTCATAACATATAAAAGTTGTGTTTATTTCCAGCTCTAGAACACATACATATATACTAACGTATGCCGCTCAAAGACGACTGCGCATCTTTATGCGCATCGGATTAAAAGAAGATAAAAGAATCGGCTATTTTGACCTATGCTATGAAATAATATAGCGAATTCCATTGGTAGAACCAGTGCAGAAAAAATGTATTTTTATCTCTTTCTTATACAAGCTGGTAGAAAAAGACACGAATACACTCAGTGCGCACTAACCCTTCCAATGGAATTCGCTATTAAAGTTACAGATTACTGTAATATAGTCCTGCGTTATTGACATTTGACAATGTGATTTGACATTAATTTTAAATAATTGTTTATTGTTTTGTTTATAAATATTATATTGATTGTGGTTTTCAATTGGTTTTATGTCTTAACCGTATTTTTTCGAAGTTGGATTATAAAGTGTATGTATAGAATTTTGAAAACATTATTCTGAGGTGCTCGACACCTAAATTTATAACAATATTATTTATAAAGATGTCATTTCTGAAATTCCCGCTAAAAATATAGGTCAAAATGACAGCCTCCTATGTTACACTGGTCGGTCGTCGCACTTTAGCGGTATACGTTAATATATAAGTAGGTAGGTATGTGCTCTAAAATGACTGTGTCAATTTTGCTATTTTGATCTTTAATTAACAGAAATCTAATAAAATAAGCTACAAAATGGCGCTGGACAGTCTCTTTTTTTCCTAAAAAGAAACAATATGGCGATTTGACGTTTTGTTTATTTAATATGGAGTCGTGGGCATAACAAACTCAACAATTGTAAAGATAGCTTTACATTTAACTCAATTTAACTGCAATTTGAATGGGAATTGAAAGTAAACGTACCTTTACGGTTTCAAGTTTGTTATGCTATCTTGAATTACTTAACTGGTTCGAATTGCCTAATTAGTTTAACTTTTACTAATGAAATAAGATGCAAATATGGCGTTAAAATAAATTGTAAAATGGCGCTTGAATTATGAGCTCTCCATCTCGAATAATTTTTAAGCTACGGCGTTTCTATTTCATAAAATTTAACGTTGTGATTATTCCCGGCTCTTGAATTACTTTGTCGATTTCACCATTTTGAACTTCAATTATAAAAATCTAATGCAATAATCTACAAAATGGCGGTTGAATATGTTCTTTTTTTCATGGAGAGAAACAATAGCGATTTTACGTTCTGTTTATTCAATATGGCGTAGTCATTCGCACAAGGATAATACACATTACTACTACAGGATAGCCTATCCTTATAAGGCCTGTGTAGATCAAATCTCAAGCCACTCACCATTTTGAAGCACCAGTGATGACGTAGGCAGCATGTTGTTTCTCGTCTTGACGTAGATTGTCTGCATTACAGGTTATGATTCCGCGAGCCTTTGCTTTGCTTTATGCATACTTGGTTTTAGTACATCAATTAGCATTCTAAAACAACGCTTTTTTAGTTTGCATCTTTGTTTATTATGTTAATCATATGTCATATGTTATTATATCAATCAAAATTAAATAATAGGTACTTTTTTTTTATGAGAAATGTATATTCTAAACTGGGACATCATCTGGCGCAAACAACTGACGACGTATTTGATGGCGTCTTCAATGGTGTTACACAATATGGCCGCAATGCCCAAAAACGAGGCCGATAAGCAATCTTATATAGTAGTATTATCCTTGATTTAAAATTAGCAAGAGGTAAGCCCCAGCCCCAAAATGGCAGCGAGACCTCTATTGTCGTCACTATTTGTAAAGGTTTATAGTCACTGTGATACCGTTCGCAATTGTATCTTACCTTATCTCCTTCTTTGTCTTACTCACATAGGCCTTGGAATGTCATTTTCATTGAAATTAAACTAAAAACAAGTTTCCAATGCCTTATTTCGGGAATTCTAATATTTATAATCATTTATTAATTAGTTATTTAACAGCTTTTAAATAAATTTGAAGCAAAAAAAAAAACATATTTTCTTTATTTGAGATGTGCAACATCGCTTTGAATAACGATTACCACATTTGACAGTCGGCCATTTTGAATGACACGTTTCCGTTTTTATCCAGTTTTTTTTCTCAAATTTTCCACTCTTCCAGGACCGATTTAAAGTGCGGGGCTTTGAATTTTTCTGTCGTTTTCTGCCAAAAATGTCCGCTTTTCAATGGGGTAAGTAACGGAAACTTTAGTTTTATCAAGCAGGATTTCAAATGTCATTTTCGTTGGCTTTTCTTTGGATTTTACGCTTTTCCAGGGTCTTTTTAATCGGAAAAAGATATTATTAAGTGCAGGGCTTTGAATTTGTATCTTTTTCTGCCACTTATTGTCTAAAATATCAAGCACTTAAATTGTATCCAGTAGGATACAATTTAAGTGTACAGTGTACAGACAAAGTATTGTCTCACTCATTTATAATGGCATTTGCTGCTTTTGAAAATGTATCCTATTTTAACTCCACTATAATCATTGTTTTTTTTATTATTCAAAAATACAATCAAGTTAACATTGAAAATGGAAATTTGTCATTTTTTCAGGCTGCAAATTCATCGGAAAATGAGGAAAAACATTCGGTTTTGAGATTGTGATTGTAGCAACATCGCTTTCAATCAAGTAGCTCTTGTAATAAATGTCATTTGCCACTTTTGACCGTCGGCCATTTTGAGTGTGTATCCAGTTTTTCGTCAAATTTTTCCGCTTTTCCAGGGCCTTTTCAGTCGAGAAAACTGATTCGCTTCGGATTTTCTTCATTTTCTGGAAAAAATTCCACCTTTCAAATGCCAAAATTAAGAGCGAAGGGTAAGTGAGAAAAATTTATTAAAAACAACCTTTTTTTGGGAAATTTTAGGTTTTAAAATCATTATTAATTAACTGTTTAACGGCTTTTCCATTAAATTACCCATTTAAATTGATTTGTTTTAAAGTGGCAACACCGCTATTATTGTGGCCAACTTCACTCAGGTTTCAATCGAGTAGGCCTTGGAATGTCATTTATAAAACCTGATAGTGACATTTGACATAAGGCCATTTGGAGTGACGCATTTTCGTTTTTGTCCCGGTTTTTCCCGGAATTTTTCAGTTTTCCGGGACTTTTTCAGCGAGAAAAAGTGGGAAACTTTGGATTCGCGGCATTTCCTGCCAAAAATCTCCAGTTTTCAGAAGGGGTAAGTGAAAGCCATTCCCAAATGCTGCTGAAGAGTATTTTGGCACGTTCTAAACGGTTGATGGAAGTTCTAAAGTACGTATACATATAGATAAATTAGAATGACTAAGTTTTTGGAAAATGTAAAAGTGGCCCATTGTTAATATTATAATTATAATATCACTGCTTTTAGTTAAATAGAATAATTCTCCATAATAAAACTCTTAGAACAAACTTTCAATAAACTCTTTATTCATAATACCTTTTTGTCGATAATGATAATTTATTTTTATACAGAAACAGAAAAACGATGCATGAGATTCAAGAAACAATCCTCCTACTAAAAGAAAAGAGAAAAAAAACAATAATAAAATGGCACAAAAAATAATAATATTTACAAACAAGAATTTATATAACAAATATTACATGAGCAAAACAAATAATAAGCTTCAATTAACTACCTATAGAAGAATAAAAACTCTATATATGGCTTATAAAGAATTGTTGAAACTTAAGCTCAAATTATTTCGATAGTTAGTTAACTTGATTTTTGAAAAATGACCTTAAAACTAAAATGTAGCTACAATATATTTATGTGCAATTATGCAATTAGCTAAAAGAAAAAAATTAAAAAGCACTGGCGCATTATTATTGTCCCTAAATCCAACCAATAGCGTGAATATTTATTTAAATAGAGCATTTTGTTTAAAGCGAAATTATTTAAGTTCAACGGGCGTGGTTTTTGCAGAAAGGACGTCCGCCCTTGGCAAAGAAGCTCTGTCCTTCGAGATTCTTTTTGCACATCTGAAAATTAGTCAATGTGAATGTGATTAACGCCATCTGTTGTATGAAATATTTACTGTGCAATTGAAGCATTGACTGTGGTAGTTGTTGTTTAAGGCTTCAACCCAACGGTCACCAGCTTCAACTGGGAATCCGCAAGCGAAACATTTGGTTGTAAAGAGTTCGTTCCAATCTGAAAGCATGAAAATAAAAGCATTTTTGTATTTCGAAGGAAAAAACAATGCTTACCAGCGTCACAATAAGGATTGCCATCTTCCAAAAAGAAAGGATTGTTACCGAACAATTTGCCGCAGTAGACGCAATTGAAGCATTCCGGATGGAAGTTTTTGCCGATGGCTTTCAAACAATCCTGAAAGATTGGAATTTGAAATTGAGAGCAAACACACGTAGATATACAAGGCCATTAAATGTTTTCAATATGGTTAACTTGGTCGCCCGATGACGTCACTTTGGTTGCAAAACCGGCCTGTGTCTCTACTAGCAAGGATTTTGATTATTTATTTCAAATTATCAACATTTATAAACCAATTTCAATCAATAACAAGAATAGAAGCAAACACAATAATTAAATGAAAAATACAAAACAAAGAAGAATTTTTCATAAGATTTGGAGTGTCGGTTCTGCAAAGGAACCGCTAGTGGGTTTCAATATGGCCAACTGGGTCACCCAATGACGTCACTTTGGTTGCAGAACCGACACTGTGTCTTTACTAACAAGAATTTGGATTATTTATTTCAAATTATCAACGTTAATAAACCAATTCCAATAAATAACTTCCGAAATAATAACACAGTAATTAAATGAAAAATACAAAATAAAGAAGAAATTTTTATAAGATTCAAAATGTCGGTTCTGCAAAGGAAGCGCTAGAGAGTTTCAATATGGCGAACTGGGTCGCCCAATGACGTCACTTTGGTTGCAGAATCGGCACTATGTCTTTATAAGCAAGGATTTTGATTTTATTTATTCCAAATTATCAACAATAATAAATCAATTTCAATCAAGAACTTCCGAAATACAGTATTTAAATAAAAAATACAAAATAAAGAAACATTTTTTATAGGATTTACAATGTCGGTTCTGCAAAGGAAGTGCTAGAGGGTTTCAATATGGCCAACTGGGTCGCCCAATGACGTCACTTTGGTTGCAAAACCGGCACTGTGTTTCTACTAACCAAAATTTTAACAACAAAATGGCGGATTTAGATTAGCAACATTCTCATTGAGTTATTATTCCCAGCTCTTGAATTCGAATCGAAAGCCGGAAATAATCAAAAATTAATTTTGAACAATAATAGCAAAGAATATAAAAATTTTGAAACTTATCAACCAATCAAACCTAGTTGGACGCCATTTTGAAATTCTTCATTGACATACCAGGCTCCTAAAGTTAATAGGTTGTCTAGTAATGGTAAACAGATGACGTCATCAGGAAGATTTAATGAAGATTTACATTATGTTTAGATATTCCAGATGACGTCATAAAAGTTATCAGACAACTTACCTCTTTAAAACAACCTTGAAACCAAATATAAATAACAAAATGGCGGATTTTTAATAACAACATTTTGAGAAGATTGTAGGCCTCAACATAATACAAATCTCCATAAGGCACCTTAGATGACATCATCAAGCTACCCCCTACCAAACAATCTATTAACTTAGCTTTCTCGCCGCTGGATAATTTTCAACTGGGTCGGCCAGTGACGTCACTTTGGTTGCAGAACCGGCACTATGTCTTTACTGACTTTACTAGCAAGGATTTTGATTTTATTTATTCCAAATTATCAACATTAATAAATCAATTTCAATCAAGAACTTCCGAAATACAGTATTTAAATAAAAAGTACAAAATAAAGAAAAAAAATTTATAGGATTTACAATGTCGATTCTGCAAAGGAAGTGCTAGAGGGTTTCAATATGGCCAAGTGGGTCGCCCAATGACGTCACTTTGGTTGCAGAACCGGCACTGCGTTTCTACTAACCAAGATTTTAATAACAAAATGGCGGATTTAGATAAGCAACATTCTCATTGAGTTATTATGCCCGGCTCTTGGATTCGAATCAAACCTCGGGAATAATCAAATTTAATTCTGACCAATAATAACAAAGAATATAAAAATTTTGAAACTTATCAACCAATCAAACCTAGTTGGACGCCATTTTGAGATTCTTCATTGACATACCAGACTCCTAAAGTTATCTGGTAATGGTCAACATATGACGTCATCAGGAAGATCTAATGGAGATTTACATTACCATGTTTAGGTATTCCAGATGACGTCATAAAAGTTATCAGAAAATCTACCTCTTTTAAACAACCTCGAAACTAAATATAAATAATAAAATGGCGAATTTTTAATAACAACATTTATAAAAGGTTGTAGGCCTCAACATAATACAAATCTCCATAAGGCACCTTAGATGACGTCATCAAGTTACCCCTTACCAGACAACCCTAGTTTAGTTGCCTTGGCGCAGGTTAATTTCCAACTGGGTCTCCCGATGACGTCATTCTTTACAAACATCTACTTACACTAGGTTAACCTCGAACTCAACTCACCCCTTTGATTTTCCCGTTGCACTTGGAACAGCTCGGAGCCAAATACTGTTCGAAACAGTACTCGCAATAGAGCTGTCCGCGTTCTTCAACAAATCCCAAATCTTGTAGAGGACGTTTGCAGGACGGAGTGGCGCAAACGAAATGTTGCGGACACCAGATTTTTCCCAAGGCGGTTATAAACGGTCCCCTATTAATTTTGAATATTAGAACATTAGGTTATGGGCCCAGTAAGTCAAACAAACACTGCAAACCAATTACCTGGAAATTTCCAAGTTACATTTACAACAAACCGGCACTCGTTTCCTAGTGAAATCCTCCATATTATTATTATCATTGCTGCTGAAACTTTTGATAATTTTGTTCCTGAATTCTTTACGATTGTCATTAACAAATGTCAAATGGTCAGGCAATGAACTGTCATTTGCGATTTTACTATTATTGATCCTGTCACTTGTCATTTTATTATTATTGATCGGTATGACAAGTTCGGATTTGACACGTTTGACGTTGTTCTCGACGACAGTGTTGACGTTGCTGACGATAAAATTCAAACGGGGACTTTGCGTTTCGGACATGTGGACGCTCTTCAGTTTCGGTATCAGGCCCTTGTTGATTTCGTCGATGATTTTTTCTTTGGATGAGGAGGAGTGGGAGGATGAGTGTGAAGAGGAGTGGGAGGAGTAGTCGGATTTGGGTGAAGAACCGGTCGAATCCAAGGAGGAGGAGAAGTTTTGGTGGGGGATGTTGATGTTGATTTGACTGTAAACGGGAACAGTAGGAGGGGAAGGGGGTGGGGGGAGTTGGTGACAAATTTCGTCCAAATCGGTGACGATGGATGACGAATTAAAATTTTCTAAAAATAAAAACACAAACATGCACAAAAAAAAACACAAAAATAATATCAAGCGCTGTCAAATTTAGTTAATTTCTCTACGCTGTCATTTTGACAGCTGTCAAAAATAATTGTCTAAAAATAACTGAACAAAAAAAAATGTCAGTTGCCAAATACTGGCATTTTGTCAAAAAACATTCAAAACTGATTTGACGTTTCTCTATAATTGAGTACTTTTTGACAGCTGTCTAAGTATAAATTAGTCATTTGACAACTGCTCAATATGTCAATTGTCAGAAAATTCAATTTAAAATTATATTGTCAAATAATAACATTTATGGGAAAACAATTGATTTCAAGTTTAAAAAAGGGAATCTTGCATTTTAGGTACGTCTTTTGTATAAAAACGAGTAAAAGTCAATAAATCTTGACAGTTCAGCGTCAAATTCGATTGTTTGGAACCGGAAAATTGTTGACACTTGTCAAAATTGAATTTTATAGTTGGATATTCAATGAACTTGTTAAAAAGTTGTTAACTGTCAAATAATATTATGTATTTTGACAGTAAGAAATGAAAAGCCGCAAGAGAAATTTTTTTAGATATTTTACGTCTTTTGCATGAAATTAAATGTATAACTGTCAAGTCAAGTCCATTTTGACAATTGTCATAGTCAAATGAATGGTGGACATTTTGTTTTCTATTTCAGAAATTAGCAGTTAGCAGCCTTGCGTCTTCTATCTCTTTTCATTTTTTGAAAAAATTGAAACAGAAAGATGCAAATTGACGTTTTTGACGCGGCTGTCAGTAAACAAAGTTTTAAAATTGTTATTTTCGATTTTTGAAATACCAAAATGGCTGAAGTTCAACTAAAAGTTATTTGATTTGTTTTGGATTTCAGGAATTTGCAGTTGGCAGCCTTGTGCCTTCTATCTCTTTTCATTTTTTGAATAAGTTGAAACAGAGAGAAGCAAATTGACGTTTTTGACGCAGCTGTCAATAAACAAAGTTTTAAAATTGTTATTTTTGATTTTTGAAATACCAAAATGGCTGAAGTTCAACTAAAAGTTATTTGATTTGTTTTGGATTTCAGAAATTTGCAGTTGGCAGCCTTGTGCCTTCTATCTCTTTTCATTTTTTGGATAAGTTGAAACAGAGAGAAACAAATTGACGTTTTTGACGTAGCTGTCAATAAACAAAGTTTAAAAATTGTTATTTTCGATTTTTGAAATACCAAAATGGCTGAAGTTCAACTAAAAGTTATTTGATTTGTTTTGGATTTCAGGAATTTGCAGTTGGCAGCCTTGTGCCTTCTATCTCTTTTCATTATTTGGATAAGTTGAAACAGAGAGAAGCAAATTGACGTTTTTGACGCAGCTGTCAATAAACAAAGTTGTAAAATTGTTATTTTCGATTTTTGAGATACCAAAATGGCTGAAGTTCAACTAAAAGTTATTTGATTTGCTTTCGATTTAAATTTGCAGTTGGCAGCTTTCTTGTGTCTTCTGTTTCTTTTTATTTTATGTATAAATTGAGATAGAAAGAAGCAAATTGACGTTTTTAACGCAGCTGTCAATAAACGAAGTTGCAAAATTATTTTTTTTGAAACCGCAAAATGGCTGGAATTCAACTAATACTCATCTGATCTGTTTTGGATTTTATCTATCTTTTTTAATTGTTTTTATAAATTGAGACAGAAAAAATCAAATTGACGTTTTTAAGAAAAAAATAAAAACACTACAAAATCAGACAAACAAGAACAACAACAACAACAACAACAACAACAACAACAACAACAACAACAACAATAACAGCAACAACAACAAATTAAAAAGCACAAAATCAAACTAAAAACACAACAAAATCAGACAAACAACAAAAACACACAAAAAATCAACCTCATCCTAACCTTATCTGACCGTGACACTGTCCGCATAGAGCCGCCCTCCCACCTGGCAACGCCGCCGTGTTCAACAACCCTCTGCCCCTTTTAGGGGCGGCCGTCACTCCACCAGTTTGCCGTCCCGCTCCCGCACCTGTATCGGGATTAGGAACAGGATTCACATTGTCACTAGGATTTCGACAAGAAGGCGCATTCACACTGTACTTGTTAAGAGTGTTTGGAGGAATCGATGTACGAATTGGAGGAACTGGAGGAGGAATTGGAGCAATTGGAGTAGGAATTGGAGTAGTTTGAGGTTGTTTTTGACGCTGTTCTACAGCTTTTAAGCTGGGAATTGGAGCATGATGTGGATCAGTAATGTGAAACGATTGAGGGCTAAATGTTTCAACTCCAGATAAGTTGGCTCTTTCAAAGGCTCTGGTTTGGATTTGGATGTTTTGCTCCTTGTGGCTGCGTTCAAACTCTTCACTTACTATTTTTCTGCGTTGGATTTGCACCCCTCCACTTTGCATTTCTACTGATTGACTTTGGGATTGTCTAGAAGCTTCTAGATGCTGTTGATGATTTTGTTCCTGGATATCTTTTCTCATTGCGCCATCTATTTGAGTTTGGTTTCTTTGGATGTCGCATATTTGTTGTTGCACTGTTCCAGATTGAACAGTGAATTGGTCGCTAGGATAAGCAACGTTTTGGCTGTAGCTGTCCCTCCTACAAAAGTCTAAACCTTTTTGTTGTTCTACAACATCTCTTTGGCTTTTGTATTCTGGAATATAAGTCTTCAAGCTTTCCTTGGCCAGTTCGATTTTGGAATCTTGAGGAGTTGGTAGAGGTTGCTTGGATTTTAAAGGATTTGGTATTTCAGGTAGAGGTGAAGGACTTCTGGTCATTCCTGGATGTGGACTCGGGGATCTGGAAACTTCTGGATGAGTTGGGTCGAAAAGGTTGGTTGCAATAGCGGCATGAAAGTGTGGGACCAAATTGTCTTGGTAGTATGGTAATAGAGCAGGGGCCTTGTTGATCATGCTGGGAGTAATAGAGCGGGGTCTTGGTGAGAAAGTTTTGGAGCAAGGTTTGTCGTCTAGGATTGGTTGGAAGTTGTTTGAAGGTTCAATTTTGATAATCGGTTTAGTAATTGTTTGCTCCTTCTTCACTTCTGTTAGTTGTTCTCTTTCTGGTTTAGTAATTCTCTGTTCCTCTGCTTGTTGTTCTCTTTCCTTCTTCTGTAACTCAATCCTTTCTTCAGCTCTTCTTTTACGTTCCATCAAAATCAAATCAGCTTCAGCTGTTGCTTGCAAATCTTTCTGATAACTGGGCAAAGTTTCAGGTTTCTTTAAACCAGCTGGTTTATGGGTTTTCACTTGTACAACTTCTTCGGCTTGTTTCTGGATTGTTTTCGACTCTTTAACTTCAACATTTTTAGTTTTTTGTTGCTGCTCTTGAATCATTCTAACACACGCTGGTCTTTCTTCAACAGTCGCAATATAAGAAATCGGAGTTTGTGGTTTTGGAGGTGGAGTTGGAACTGGAGGAGTTGTATTGACTTCAACGGAAAACTGCGAATGATCGGTTTTGTTTTTGAACGAGCAACTGAATCCTTGGAAAATTGGAGCAAAATTATTTACAGTTGCTGTTATAGCTTCTGGATCTTGAACAACAGCATTTACAGTTTCCTGTTTTGGAGCAAAATTATTTACAATTGTTGTTATAGCTTCTTGATTTTGAACAACAGTTTCCTGTTTTTCAACTATAGTGTTTTGAGTAGCTTCAAACGACTCAGTAGATCTGATCCGTTCTTCAATGACACTTGGAGCATAATAACTTGGAGGCTTTGGTTCTTGTTTGTTCATTTGAAATGAAGCTGGTAACTCTTCAGGCTTCACATGTACTTCAAATTTTTTAACTTCATGCATATTATGAGTTTCTTCACTAATAGAAGAGGAAAATTCACTTATCAAAGGAGTATAAGGTCGATCTGGAGCAGTCATTAAAGCACTCCTCATATCCAACTTCTCACTAGGCTTTGGTAATTCATCCAGAAGCTGATCCAAAGGATCTTTTGGTTTCTTTTTGACTTGAGGCACCGGACTCACTCCTGTTGGAGTAAAAGGCCTTTCTGGAGCAATTTCCAAAGCCTTAACAAATGGACTATAAGGTTTTGGAATCGGCAATTTCTCCTCTTTTTTAGCTTCTTCACATTCCTCTCTTTTCACAGGAATAATAGGATGTTCAGGAGGAAAATAAGGCTCAGTCATTTCTGGAAGAGGCACAAAATCCAACGAGGACGCAGTCCGAGGAGTAAATGGTTCTTTTGGAGCTATAGCCAAAGCTGAAACCATAGGACTAGCAACTCTTCTATGCGGATTCAAGCAAAAAGTATCAGAATCTGGTTCAGTAGTCCTTGCAGCTTGAGTCAATGGAGATTCCCATTTCTGAGGGACAACATTCTCAATTTTTGTTTCACTTTTGACAACATCTTCAACCAATTTCTGAGTATCTAATTGCTCTATTAGACACTCAGAAGCACTTCTTCTATCACACTCTTCACTATAAAACATTGTATCGTCTTCTTCTTCAGAAAAATATTCTCTTTCAAAATTCGTCCTTTCTTTTTCTATTTGCTTTTTTTCAATTTCAGCCTCAATTCTTGAAGGAGGAGGATAAAACAAAGGACAAGCGGTAGGTAAATCGGAATCTTGAGGTGGGGGCCAGATTATGTTGGTGCTGCGGCCTTTTTATAGCGTAATACACACACAAAGGTTAGACAAAAGAAGCAGAAAAATAAATAAAAAATTGTTAATAAATTAATAAATGCGCTGCTAATTAAAATAGTATAACTCTAAAAGCTTTTTTTTTTAATCGAGTACTAGGGAGAATGGCCGAGGTTTGGAATTGAACCAATCTGTAAGAGAAAAAATATAATTTTGTAAATATATAATTACATTTCAGGGTTATACTATTTTAAAACAATATATAGTGAATAAAGCTTCAAAATAATAATAAAAAGGTGTGTAGGTACCTCTAAACATCCCACCTGCGGAATTAAGGGCAGAGGTACGGCCTAAGAACATTTACAAACAAAGCTAAGTATTTTCTATCTAAACAGGAAACTATATTTTGTTTCTACTACTAAAAGCAACATTACCTACTTCCTAAACATAAAATAACATGTTTTGTTGTAGAAAAAAAAGAAACACTAACATTTATAGAATTTATTCGAAATATCACAATGGCACGAGTCCGTAGGGCGAAGGTTTTTGTCTTGTGTTATGCACAAATGCTTTTATTTTATAATTTTTCATCCCAGACAGCAAAGAAGCATCTTAAAGACGACTCTAGATGTTCAGAAACGTCTTTTAGACGTCTGCTTACAAGGCATATTTAAGACATCTTAAAAATATCATATAAGTAGGTACCATAATATCCAACGTCTTTCAGACGTCTGCCTAAAAACGTCTTCAGGAGTAATATTCCATTATTATACATTATTTTCAATTTTTGTCTTTAATTCTTGATTTCTTTTAAACGAAAACATTTTGGAAGAAAAACATATAGGAAGAGACAGAAATTCTGTTTTCGCCAATGTATCCTACCTTATCTCCTTCTTTGTCTTACTCAAATTATTAAGTAGGCCTTGGAATGTCATTTTTATTAAAATTAAACTAAAAATAAGTTTCCAATACCTTATTTCGGTAATTTTAATATTCATAAAATCATTATTGATTAATTAGATATTCAACAGCTTTTTTAATAAATTTCAAGCAAAAAAAAAAACACATTTTTTTTTTTATTTCAGATGTGGCATCGTCGCTTTCAATATCATTTGCCACTTTTGACAGTCGGCTATTTTGAATGACACGTTTTGGTTTTTATTCAGTTTTTCATAGAATTTTCCACTTTTCCAGGGCTGTTTAGATCGGGAAAATCGATTTAAAGTGCGGGGCTTTGAATTTCCTTCATTTTCTGCACAAAAATTTCAATGGGGGAAGTAACGAAAACTTTAGTTTTATCAAGTAGACTTTGGAATGTAATTTTCGTTGGTTTTTCTTTAGATTTTCCGCTTTTTCTGGGTCTTTTTAATCGGAAAAAGGTGGTTTTAAGTACGGAACTTTGAATTTGCGTCTTTTTTTGTTACTTTTAGACAGACCGAGCACTTAAATTGTATCCTACATTGTCTTACGCATTTATAATCGCATTTCCTAAGTTTGAAAATGAATCCTATTTTATCTCCTTCTTTGTCTTACTCATTTTAATCACTGTTTTTTTTTTATTAATACAATCAAATTAACATTAAAAATGGAAATTTGTTACTTTTTCATCGGAAAATGAGGAAAAATCTGGAGATTGTAATTGTGGCAATATCGCTTTCAATCAAGTAGGCCTTATAATAAATGTCATTATCCAGTTTAGAGGTGGGAAACTATCGAAGAATCTAACTATCGATATATCGATAGTAACGAATAAAAACTATCGATGTATCGATATAATTATCGATAAAAAAAGGGTATTACCAGAAAACAGTCCAAAAAATTGATATTTATTTAAAATCCTTGTACCTTTTTAAAAATTTACACATAGACGTAAAATCGAATCCTGAACCACTTTTCGCTTTACAATTTTTCGATTTCTGGTCATCTAACCCCACTTTTCACATATTTGAGGCAAACTTTTTAAATTTCCCGCCATAACTGTGGTCACATGACATCTGTCACAGTGCTTTTTTTTGTTGATGGGTATGCTGAATCGATCCCACGTAACATTCTCTTTGATATCTTAGTAACAAAATATTTTCCCATTTGTTGCAAACTTTTTGGCGATCACTGTATATAAAACACAGTGTGTTGGTTCTAGCTCTTATAACTTGAGAACGGCTGGACTGATTTTTATGATTTTTACTTTATTGGATTTTTCTTTGTCCCTACTAACATAATAAATCCAAAAAACAAAAAACAAAATTACTTATTTTAGTTACATATTTATGAAAAAAATTCACTGAGCCCGCATACGGCGCCATCTTTTATAACCGATACCAAGTTTACCGCTACATTTTCATTGCAAACCATTTTGTATACGGCGCCATCTCTGATACCTAGAACGAAGCTCGCCGTTGCGCGGTAATTTCATTGCAGATACAGTAGAACAATGCTGCTCAGGAACTGGAGCTATTCCGAAAAGAACTATTCTACTATTCCGATCAGATAGAGTGGTGCAGAAAGAGTAGATCAGATAAAATAGTGCAGATAGAGTAGAACAGATGGAGTAGTGCAGTGCAGATAGAGTGAAACAGGGCTACGCTGTGGATTTTTTTTGTTTTCTTTACATTCTTTGAATATTCCTGTGCCTGAGTTTATTTATTTGGTGGTACACTTTACAAGAATAATGCCCACAAGCTGCTTAAAAAAGGATGATGTAAAATTTTAATTTTAAGTGACTTCTGATCCAGAGAATAAACATTAATTTTCTTCAACCAAAGCCAAATTCACCATCGAAAAAAACTGAATTTAATTCAGCTAATAGATACGTTAACACAACATTTAATAGGTATATTTAATAATTCAGAGGCGGTACGAAGTTCGCTGGGTCAGCTAGTTGATAATAAAAAAGTTTTCCATATGCTGCGAACTTGAGTGGATACACTGTATATTTAGGAGGGGAGGGGGGTTTTTCGATGAGTTGAGGCGGAAAATGCGTCAGAACGCAAGGCCCTTTTTTTCCCGTGATAATAGGATATTTAAACACAAGCGATTAAACACGAGCGACGAAGGAGCGAATGAGTGTGTGAATTTTTAAATCGTGGTCGCTGTTAGTTGGGGATTTTTTTTTTTTGCCAAATATGGCAATTGGGGACACTTACTTACCAACCAACTGACAGGTGGTTTTTATAATTTTTAAAGGTTTGACAATTTTGAAGGTACCAATTCTTCAACGATTCTGCCTGCGAGAATAATGACATTCTCACGAAAGTGTCCCTTCGGAAATTGAAACAGCATTAATGAAAAGGTTCTTCTGGTAACTAACTTTCTTTTTGTAAATATATTTTTTATTTTATAATTTGACTGTTATTATGAATTCTAATAATCGCACTAGTACTATTATGAATGCTAAATGTGTCATAATGACACCGACGTAGATTAATTTATAAACGACATTGGAACAGTCTTTAGACGTTCAGACGTAATGCAGACTTTAAAAAGACGTCTTCAAGATTTAGTGTGCTGTCTGGGAATGGAGTACGATTAGCTCTTGTCATAGAGGAAAGAGACATTACATTTTTGAAAAACTTTAAAGAAAATTATATAACCAAGATAACAGGTCTTAAAAAAAAACAATCAAAGACAAAGAGTACTTTCATTACGGAAACCTACGTCGTATTATTGTTTCTTTATTAATCAGGGTTTTTGATATGACATTTCGACATTAAAATTGATTGACAAAATTGAAGAAACATATTGCTAAGACATACGTTTAAAAAAACCATAGCAATCTTTGATTGTGTTTTTTTTTTGAAGACCTGTTAAAACTATACCAAAATCAATTTAAATAATAACGTTCGTCTTTTCTTTTATTCAATGTAATAGAAAAAGAAACAAAAATGTGCGCTTACCACCAGTAGAACCAGCAGGACTATAAGAACCGTAGGAATGTACCGATGGCGATAGTGGGGCCTTTGTAAAGTTGTTCTGCGGTGGAGACAAAGGAGCCCTATTTAAAGTGCCCCCTGGCGATAATGGAGCGCTTACACTAGAAAACGCTTTGGGACCTCCAATATTACTTGACTGGAAATTTGAAAAAAAAAAAAAAAATCAATATTTAGAATAAAACAAAAAAATATATTGAGGGCCGATACTTTAGATCTTGATTAACAAATTTGACATGTCGTTAAATTTAACAAGGTTTTACAAGGGCCAAAGTTTGTAAGTATGATATGGTTACTGATTTAAAACCCTGATTATTTTTAATGATTTTCAAATTTGAAAACTAAAAACAAAAGTAGCGACACTGAGTGGGGTTAATTTTTAACTTACCTTGTTAATGTATTTGCTAAACGATAAAGGAGCAGAAGGATTAAAGATTGGTGAAATGTTAGAATCAGAAGAAATTTGAGCTGGTGAAGAGGGCGCTAGTAGTTGACTATCCAGAGTGGGTGTAACTTCTTTATGTTCTTCCGCAAGCTAAAATTAATTGGAAAAAAGTGCAAAAGCATGCAATAAAAGAACAGAAACAAGAGTGCAAAAATAAAGGTATTATTACGTGATGTAAAAATAATGACATTTAAACAATAAATGAATGTATTTTTTCAATAATACATAATAAAAAAAATAAAATACAAAATAAGAGACAAAAAATTGGTTTAAATTTATGTATTAAAAAAATACACTCACCTTAATGTAAAATTAGTGTAAGTAAAAGTGTATAAAATTAAGTTATGAAAATTACTTACTGGGTAACTAGGTATTTTCGGAGATAACGGAGCGGGTGACGGTAAAGTTTGATTGGAAAGTGCTGCAGAAATAGCTCTTGCCGGTGTCTTACCAACTCTATTAGAAAATAATAATAATAATAATAATAATAATCCTTATTGGTAATTGCAATAATAATTTGCTTATAGTTTTGGTAATTTTCAACGAATCAACTTGTTTTATAGATTTTCTAAAAGAGGATTAAATTCTCTATAAAACTTCCAAAAACTAAATCAATTGCTTTCATACGCTTTGAAAAATTAAGCTTCAAAGTTGGAATTTGATTCAGATTTTATCAAAAATTTTAAGATGAAATAACTCAAAAACCACAGGTGATAAAAATATTTTCTAAAGTATTGAAGTACTACTCAATGAGAGCTACAAACTCAGAAAAATTGACTCGATATCGCTTATATTTACTGAGATATTGTCAATGGAAGATTTTCAATAAAAAATTTAAATTACTCACGGAGAAATGGTAATTGGTACTGCAGTTGGATTATTGATAGCAATGGCAGCCGATTTTGCGTGCACGTCACAATACAATTTATTGTTGATGTTGTAGTATCTACAAAAAAATTATAATATTTAATAAAATTATAAACAAATAATTAATAAAACAACTTACCCGACGTTTTTAAGCGAAGACCCGCAAGTGGAACATTTAAAACATTCAACATGTAAGTTTTTGTCTTTTATTCTTACAAAGACGCCACTAAAAAAAAAATGTTTATATTAAATTATAAACTTACAATTAAAATTGGAATAATATTCTGACGAGAACTACAAAACATGCTACAACAAAATATAGGTACAATACAACAAGAAGAAGAAGTTGGAGGAGAAACATTATAGAAAAATACTACTTGAATAATAATTTTCATGCATAAGGGAAAAAAAAAGTAAGGGTATGACGAAACACTATACTAAAGTGCAACAAATTATATTATCTCGGAACCCAGTAGATGGTGCGCCTGATGCAAACGACGTAATTTTATTCTAAAACCGACATTGTACTACTACTACTATTAATTAATTGAACTGGATTCCAAGATTTTTCAATTAATTATCCAGTCTTTTCTTACACAATGACCCGTTCGCAATCAGTACAAACGGTGGCGCCCTCTGAAACCTGTTGCTGATTGATATTTTGCCCTTCAGATGGCGTACGAGGTCGTGGATTTTTGCCGCCAAAAGACGCTGAGTAATCTGATCGATTTACTAAAATTAGGAAAAAATAAAATCAGAATTGATCAAAAAATAAAAACTTCTAATCCTTGTTGAAATGTTTCGATGAAAGTTTCTTCTCGTCAAAATACAATGTTGCCAGTTGTCGTGTTAATTACTTACACAATTAGGCGTTCGCATTCGACGCAAATATTTTGGCCGGGTGGTAATTGAGGGTTGGAAGGCATCGGTTTGTTTTGAGGTGCCTCTACGTGTTTCAATCCTGCCATTCCTCTATTTGGAGCCGTTACTATGCCTGAATCTGGTTCTAATTCAGGCATAAGTATACATTTTGAATTATGGTAAAAGATTAAATAGGCAACAATGTCAAATTTAATGAATATTTTCTATTTGTTAGATTGTTAAAAAAGTGTCGAAGAGATTTTTAATAAAATTAACTTAGAACTATTTTTACCTTGTTCTGGAGTGTTGGGTTCGTTTTCGGCCTCCTTTAGCATACGATAAACGGCGCTGTTAGAAGAATCGTAATTTTTCTCATTTTTCTTGAAGTTTACACTGAAAAAATAAAATCTGATAAAATTCCAGATTCAAAACTGTGAAAAATTGAAAGAGATTGAATTGAATTTCTTCAATTATCAATCAAAACTGTATAACTTTTGTATTTACACCTTTTTTCTACAGGTGGAGTGTTAATATACAAAAAAACAGCCTATACAAATAGGTGGCTTATTGTGGAACTTATGGGTGGCCCTCGAGCGCAGCGAGTTCTGCAGCCATCTAGGTACTCACCAATATACTGTTGAACTATTCAAATTCCCTGGAACGAGTAGTTTTTGAACTAATGAGAAAAATTCTCAACTGAGTAAATCAGGTTAGTATTGTACTTGAACAACATATTAGTGAATAGATGACTGAATCCACCCATAAGTTCCGCAACAATTCACTCGTTTGTACTTGAATAACTTGTCACAATATATTACTAGTTTGGTAAAGTAACATTACTAATTCCTGTTGAAAGGCAAATTGACTAAAAGTGGATAATTTCACTAATTCTGACTTTATATAAAGTCTGTTTTTTTTTTTAAAGATAATTCCCAAGTCAAAAATTTAGTAATTATGTTGGCAACACAAGTCTTTGAAAGCATTGACAATTTTACATTATATTGCCAGCATATTGTCATTTTAACTTTTATCTTTAAAAAAAAACACAGTCTTTAGGTTATTGTTCAAGTACAGGGTGTTTTTTTATATATTGACAACCCACCTACAGCTGAGGGGGTTACAACTGGACCAAAATTTATACATGTATTGCGCATTACATGCTTTTTTGAACTAATTCCAATGTGTAATGTTAAACATTGTTGTCTTTACAAATTGGCAGAGTTTTGTAATGGTTAGAATTTTACGAGTGGCGGCTTACTCCCGAAATCGCTGTATATTTTCATCCGAAATCGCGAACAGCGAAATCTTATTCCAAATCCCGGAATCCCAACCAAAATCCTTCTGAAATCTCGAAATCCGAATAATTTTATCGAAATCCTTAGTGGTACGGTGTTGAAAATCGAATATCCGAAATATTTCGAAATCCCTTGAAAATTGTCGAAATCTTATGCGAGTTAAAAAAGACTGCAAAGCTATTGAAATTATTCACAGGAGATTTGTAAAGAATTTCATTGGCTTCAATTGAAGCCTAATTACGTTAAGATCGGATTGAAATTACCAAAGTTGTGGTTATGTGAGTCAAAATGTGTTTTTTATTTGTATCCGAAATTCCTTGAAATTCTTTCGAAAACCTTTGGAAATACCGAAATCCATTCGAAATCGCGTACAGCGAAATCCTATCCGAAATCCTTATGAAATCCCGAAATCCTAACCGAAAATCTTCTGAAATTCCGGAATCCTAACCGAAATCCTTCTAAAATCCCGAAATGTCAACCGAAATCCTTCTGAAATCCCGAAATCCCAATAAATTTCTCGAAATCCTTGAAATCCTTAATGGTACGGTACGGCGTTAAAAGTCGAATACCCGGATCTTTCGAAACCCTTTGAAAATTGTCGAAATCTTATGCGATCTTCGAAATCGATATACAAATTGTGGTGAGTCCACCCCCCTCACCGTGGCTAACTCTCGAAATCGCTGTACATTTTTATTCCAAATCCCTTAAAATTCTTTCGAAATCCTTTGGAAATTCCAAAATCCATTGAAAATCGCGAATCATAAGGATTTCGGATAGGATATATCCGAAATCCTTATGAAATTTCGAAATCCCAACCCGAATGAATCCTCCTGAAATCCCGGAATCTGAACTGAAATCCTTCTGAAATTTCGAAATCTCAACCGAAATACTCCTGAAATCTCAACCGAAATCCTTCTGGAATCCTAATAAATTTATCGTCTTTCGGAATTCGTTCAAAATTGTCGAAATCTTATGCGATTTCCGAGATCGATGTACAAATTGTTAGTTTATTAACTATTATAGGTTAATATTTTATCTCTGGATTTATCCTGAGTCAACAGTTGAAATGTATCTAATCCAATGATTTTTATTGATTCATAAGAATGTTGTCAACTACTCAAGTAAATACCACTCTGTACATCAATTTTACTAAAGTGTGTCGACGAGCCAGCATTCATTTGGTAAAAATACAGCGCCGAAATTCATTACTGGCAGACTAAAGCTAGTGCGAACTACCCCTAATGGGAAAAGCCCCTTTAGCTAAGTCTCCTCTCAGTGCAAACTACCTTTAATGGGAAACGCCCCTCTGGGAGTATTGAACGCCGCAGACTAGGTCCAGTGCAAACTACCTTTAATGGGAAACGCCCTTCTGGACCTGTCTCAAACCTAGTTTCAGTCTTCAGTCACGCCAAACAGGGGCGCCCGCAGAAAAATATGTAGGGGGGACCAAAATCAATTGAATAAATTTTTTATGCGTAAAAAAGGGCACTTCAGTCTAAATTATCATTTTAGAGGCAGAATCAGAATTTTAAATGCAACATTTGCAAAGAAAAATTTAAAAAAAAAGGCAGTTTGAAGAGACACAATTTAACACACTTGGACGAGAAGAATTTCAAATGCAACATATGCAATGCAAAATTTAAAGAAAAATTTAAATTAGGAAAATTTAAACAAAAAGGTAATTTGAGAAGTCACATATCAACAGACTTCGATAGTTATCTTTTTGAATGTAACATTTGCAAAGCAAAATTCAAAGGAAAAGACTGTTTAAAGAGACACAAACTAACACAGTCGGATATTTATCCTTTTAAATGTGACACATGCAATGCAAAATTTGAACACAAACGTAGTTTGAGAAGCCACATATTAACACACTCGGATGAGGAGAATTTCAAATGTAACATTTGCAATGCAAAATTGAAAAGAGAAAGCGAACACATATTGATACACTTGGATATTTAATTTTTTTGAATGGGACATTTGCAAATCAAAATTTAAACGGAAACGCGATTTAAAGATACACAAACTAACACATTCGGGTATTTATCCATTTGAATGTGACACTTGCAAGGCAAAATTTGAAGAAAAATAATTTACAAAGGCACATTTCAACACACTCGGATATTTATCCTTTTGAATGTAACACTTGCAAATCAAAATTTAAATGGAAAGCCGATTTAAAGATTCACAAACTAACACATTCGAATATTTATCCATTTGAATGTGACACTTGCAATGCAAAATTTAAGCAAAAACATAATTTGAAAAGCCACATGTTAACACACAGATTGTTTATTATTTGATTCACTTAATAGTGACATGTGTTTAGCTCCGGGGTCCTTGAACTCAGCCACAAAATTCACCAGTTCCGGAATAAGGAAAGGGTGACAATTTATCAATATGCAAATCGATACACTGAGATATAGATGTAAATACTGAGATAAAGGTGTAAATACAAAAAAAAAAAAACAATTTAACTTTTCCTACTTTATCTCTCTCTTTGTCTTACTCATTTATAATCGCATTTGCTGTTTTTACAATTGTTTTTTATCTTATTTTTTTCTTTGTCTCACTCACGTTTTCGCCAAAAACAATCAAATCAACATTAAAAATGAAAAATTGTTATTTTTCCAGGGTGAAAAGGCCGTTGGAAAATGAGGAAAAATCTGAGAAAGCATTCTGGTTGAGATTGTAATTGTGGCAACTTCGCTTTGAATCAAGAAGGCTTTGTTATGCTGTAATGTCATTTGCCACTTTTGACTTTTTGACAGTCGGCCATATTGAGTGTTTTTAATCAGTTTTTCCTGGAATTTTCCGCTTTTCTAGGGCTTTTTGGATCGAGAAAACTGATTTAAAATGCGGGGCTTTTCAATTTCCTTCATTTTCCGCTAAAAATGTCCAGTTTTTAATGAGGTAAGTGACAAAAACTTTAGTTTTATCAAGGTCGTTTGGCTTTGGAATGTCATTTTGATTGGGTTTTCTTTCGATTTTCCGTTTTCCCACGGTTTTTTTTTTAATTAGAAAAAGGCGGTTTAAAGGGCGAGGCTTTGAATTTGTGTCTTTTTCTGCCACTTTCAGGCAAACCGAGCACTTAAATTATGTCCTTTTTTATCCCTCTCTTTGTCTCACTAATTTATAATTGCATTTGCTTGTTTTCCAAATAATGTATTCTACCTTATCTGCTTCTTTGCCTTACGCTCTATAATTACTGTTTTTGCTAAAAATACAATTAAATTAATATTAAAAATTAAAATTTGTTACTTTTTCAGGGTGAAAAGTCGTCCTTGTGATGAATGTCATTTGCTCCTTTTGACAGTCGGCCATTTTGTGAGTTTTTATTCAGTTTCACCTTGAATTTTCCGCTTCTTCGGGGCTTTTTTGATCGGGAAAACTTATTTAAAACGTGGGACTTCGATTTCCCTCATTTTCTGCCAAAAATTCCAGCTTTTCAACAGAGTAAGTAGGTAACAAAAACTTTAGTTTCATCTATAGGTCCGTTTCTGCAGAAATCACAAACCAGTCAGAGCGAATTTCATTAGTTGAAACTAGTTTTCTGATTGTTTCTGACTGTTTCCAACCAATGAAATTCGCTCTGACTGGTTTGTGATTTCTGCAGAAACAAACCTAATAATCGCTGGCTGGGTTCGCTAAATGCATTTGCGCGCAAAATGAGTAAAATTTGACAGGTGTCAGGATGTCACGTGATTTGACACGTGCACGTGAAAAAAGATAAATGATCACAGTTTGCTCTTTTTGCTCGCAGATGTAATTAAGGAAAAAGTAATCGGAAAATGAAGAAAAATAATTGAGAAGATATTTGACCAGGAATAACGGAAAAACCGGCGATAAAAATAAAAACGCTTCACTCAAAATGGCCGACTGTCAAAAATCAAAAACGCCATGGACATTCCAAGGCCTACTTGTTTGAGACTTAGTGAAGTTGGCTACAAGCGCTGTTGCTGCATCAAAACTTCAAAAACTTTATTTTCAATGGGATTTTGCTTAAAAGCCGTTAAATAATCAATTATTAACGATTTTAAAAGTATAAATTCTCCAAATAAGGCCGCGAAAACTTGTTTTTTAGTGAACTTTTCTCACTCACCCTTCACCCTAAATTACGGCATTTGAAATTTTAAATTTTTGATAGAAAAAGATGCAAATTCGAAGACCCGCACTCTTTATCAATTGAAAAGGCCCGAACAAATGGAAAATTCCAAGGAAAACCGCGTCATGCAAAATGGCCGCCTGTCAAAAGTAACAGATGACATATCACAAAACCTACTTGATTGGAAACCACGTTGTCACATTTCAAATAGAAAAAATAACATTTTTCAATGGTTATTTGCTTAAAATTTAGTAAAAATTACATTCCAAGGCTTATCTGATAGTGAGTAAGACAAAGAGGGACATAAAGTAGGATAAAATTTGAGTTGGTTTGTTTATAAAAGTGGAAATTTTTAGTAGAAAAAGACGCAAATTCGAACCACCGTACTTAAAACCACCTTTTTCTTATTGAAAAGTGGAAAACTGAAAAAAAAAAAACATAAAAAATGACATTCCAAAGTCTGTTTGATAAAAACCTAGTGCAGTTGTGCAACAAGCGGTTTTGCCACGTTGCAACCTGGAAAATACATTTCAAATGGGATTTTTGCTTGTAATTTAATGGAAAGCTGTTGGATAATAACATAAAGCCTTCCAATTTTTCTTTTTAAATTTTCAAAGCGACCTTACTCGGAAACAAAAAGCTAGGGAGAAAAACTTCAAATATAAAACTTATAGATCTCGTCAAATACTACAAAAAAGCCTATAAGAAGTATCCCTTTACGGGGCACTGCTTTCGAGAAAATCGATCTCAAAAATTTTAACAAACTTACAAAGAATTTCAACTTTGACGGCTGATATCTCAAATACGAAAACGGCCTGGAATCTCAACAAAAAAACAGTTTGTAGGTAATTTCATTCTCTTTTAGAAGATATATGACTCGAAACTATCAGTTAAGAAATAGCGGAGCTATAAGCGAAAAAGTAACGTGTCAGGTCGCCGAAATTTTTATCTGACCAAAATCGAAATACCCTTTTTTAATTTTTTCCCGGCCTTAAAATGTGTCATAGCAAGCAGGATTGCATAAGCTTTCCAACGTTTTTTATTGCTCCTCCATCGGTATTCTTTCTTTTTTGAAATTCGGAAAAAAAAATTCAAAATCGAGAAAGAGGAGAGAACTGAATATCGTAATATTGACTAAAAATCACATATTTGAATATTTCCGATTTTTGATTGGCTCCAAATTATCCGCTGACCAATAGAATTATAGACTGGGTCCCATGATTAAGTTGAAGTTTGAACGACTAGTTTTATCTTTTTGGGTAAACGTCTCAAGAAACTTTTTTTCACGGTAACTAATACTTTACATCAACTTAGAATAGACTTTTCAGTATCTAACTACTTCTAAGTACCTGAGATACTTTCTAAGGATACTAGTTACAGATCCTTTTGAAAAGTAATTGAGATACTAGATAAGTACCTTTGCCAAAAAATAAAAAGTATTTAAGATACAGTATCTTAGATACTATATAAAGTAACTAAGATACTCTAAAGTAACTCTGACAGCTCTGTTCTAACGAATAATCATTGATTAATTTAATTTTCAACATTTGCCACAAATGATGCTTGATTTTTCTTGTTCAATTTAAGTATACCAGCAAAAACATGAAATTCTACTTCAAAATGCTCATTTATTAATTAATGACTCATTAGTATTGGCTCAAAATATGAAAACAGGAACTGAGATATTAGATATTAATAAGTTTGAGCTAAATTTAAAAGCTTAATGGTCATTAGTATTTTGTTTTTTTTTTACAAAAATATACAATTTCAAAAATAGCAAAAAGATTATGTAAAAATGTAAATAGATTATGTAAATATAACTTTAAACAGCTTTTGAGGAATTAATTTTAGACTTTAAACATTAAAGTTTAGAAATAAATTTTTCATTACTTACCCTAAGGCACCAGTGGATAAAACTTCACTTTGAGCCGAAATAGTTTCAGCTATAGCGTCTTCGGAATATAGTTTTACTGGAGTATTGTACTGCTTATTCACTAGTTTCGGTCCACTACCATTTACAGCCCCATTAACCTGTCAAAAGAAAAAAATATATATATTAGTTCAATAATGAGGATTATTATAGGACTAGGCACAAAAAACTAGTTTTCTTAAATTACGAAATAAACATTTAATAGAGAAATTTGATATTACAATAAATTATAAATCAAATAAAATTCTAGACGTTAAATAATTAGTGAAAATTAATCGAGCTCAATTTATTTATTGCGACATTAAATTGTGTTTATTGTTGTCGAGAGGTTTTGGCAATAATTCAATGACAAATTCCGTTAAGCAATCAGAGTAATTAAAATAAATCCGGGATAGTGAATTGGTTAATTTATACGCGCGTTGTTCCAATTCGAATCCAGGCAACTTGAACCTGATCTCGATTTATTTGGATCAAACGAAACGATTGATTATTCATAATGGAAATCGAATGGGAAAATGTATTTTGGATTTGAAGTTGAAAAAGATGTTTCCAAACAAAAGTGTATTGACTGAGGAAGAGAATTAATAAGATTTTAATCAAAAAATCTTTTCAAATTATTCCAAATCTAACAAAATTAAACATTACAATAACTTCTAGAAGTTTTTTCAGAATTTACATTAAGGTGAAAGTTAATCTGATTTATTCTAGAATTTTCGATAATCTTATTTAGTGAGTATAGGTAAGTCTTATAAAGCCTAAAGTTTTTTTTAATTTTGCAGCAAATTTGGATTTTAGAATTGACTTGAGATGAGGAAGAAACTTCATAGTCTACTTTCTGAAATTTCTGAAAATAAGTCTCAGACTCAGAACTTTTAGAATCTTCAAAATCTTATTTTATCGAATGTAAAAATATGCCTTCTTTGCTTAGCTTTGATCGCCAGAGCTGTGCGGTACTCACTCGAGTACAAGTACTTTTCACTTGTACTTTAAATGTCAGTTTCTCAATTACCAGTTACCTCCGGATTGGTTTTAACTCCAAGTTGAACGTGTCCAGTTGCGTTGTTTACCCTGGAGTTATGCTTAATCCAGGGATGACTTGCTATTGAGAAATTCGCACTAAGTACATTTTAAGTTACTCGTCGGTACTCGGGCCAAGATACTTTTTAAATCATTACCTACTTGTACCTCGATTTGTACATACTTGTATTTTCCTTTCATTGTCAAAATGACAGTTTCTGATAAATGTCAATTTTTTTAGAAGCTTATTAAACATTCAATTATCAAATTTAAGTTTGATAGCTGTCAAAAATCGTTTAGTTTAAAAGTGACGATTTTCTTCCATGGAAATATCATTCATGTTAACATTTATTGAACATCAAATTTCTTCTTACTGTTAAAATGAAAGTTTTTGATAAATGTCATTTTTTTTACAAACTTATTGAACGTCCAACTATCAAATTTAACTTTGACAGCTGTCAAAAAATGCTTAGTTCAAAAGTAATGATTTTTTTTCCTGAAAATATCACCCATTTTAACATTTATTGAACATCAAATTTCCTCTTATTGCCAAAATGACAGTTTCTGATAAATGTATTTTTTTTTAACAAACTCGTTGAATATCCAATTATCAAATTTAACTTTAACAGCTGTCAAAAATCGTTTAGTTTAAAAGTGACGATTTTCTTCCATGGAAATATCATTCATGTTAACATTTATTGAACATCAAATTTCTTCTTACTGTTAAAATGAAAGTTTTTGATAAATGTCATTTTTTTTACAAACTTATTGAACGTCCAACTATCAAATTTAACTTTGACAGCTGTCAAAAAATGCTTAGTTCAAAAGTAATGATTTTTTTTCCTGAAAATATCACCCAATTTGACATTTATTGAACATCAAATTTCCTCTTATTCTCAAAATAACAGTTTTTGATGAATGTCAATTTTTTCACAAGCCTATTGAACATCCAACTATCAAATTTAACTTTGACAGCTGTTAAAACTCACTTAATTCAAGAGTAACGATTTTTTTTCCATGAAAATATCACCTATTTTAACATTTATTGACCATCAAATTTCCCTTGTTGTCAAAATGACAGTTTCTGACAAATGTCAATTTTTTTATAAGCTTATTGAACATCTAGTTATCAAATTAAACTTTGACAGCTGTCAAAAATCTTATCTTATAGTTTAAGAGTAACAATTGTTTCCATAGAAATTTTACCCATTTTAACATTCATTGACAATCAAATTTTCTTTTATTGTCAAAATGACAGTTTCTGATGAATGTCAATTTTTCTTACTAGTTTATTAAACATCCAACTATCAAATTTAACTTTGACAGCTATCAAAAATCGCTTAGTTTAAAAGTGACGATTTTTTTCTATGAAAATATCACCCATTTTAACATTTATTGAACATCAAATTTCCTCTTATTGCCAAAATGACAGTTTCTGATAAATGTATTTTTTTTTAACAAACTCGTTGAATATCCAATTATGAAATTTAACTTTAACAGCTGTCAAAAATCGCTTAGTTCAAAAGTAACTTTTTCTTTCTCATGGAAATATCACCCATTTTAACATTTATTGAGTATCAAATTTCCTCTTACATTATCAAATTGATAGTTTCTGCTAAATGCCAATTTCAGAACGTTTTAAAATCTTCAAAACCTTTCACTTGAATTCTAAGTACATTTTAAGTTACTCGGTATTCGGGACAAGATAGGTACTTTTTACATCATGTACTTGTACTTGAATTGCTTGAAAATATAAAAAATACTCTATACTTTTTATTGTACTGAGTAAATTTAAAAATATTCGAGTACATGCTTCTATAATCGAATACATTTGTTATACCCAAGTATCTTCCTATTTTTCTTTGTATTCGAATGCACAAGCGGTGCTACCACCTAAAAAGAATTATTTTAAATGGGTAATTTAATAGAGAAGCCGTTAAATACTTAACTAATGATGATTTTGAAACTTAAAGTTCCCGAAAAAAGGTTGTTTTTATTACATTTTTCTCACTTACCCTTCGCCCTTAATTTTAGTATTTAAAAGTTGGAATTTTTGTCAGAAAAGAGAAAAAAAAGCCCCGCACTTCAAATCAGTTTTCCCTACTGAAAAGGCCCTGGAAAAGTGAAAAAATGTGGGGAAAAACTGGATAAAGACACTCAAAATGGCAGACTGTCAAAAGTGGCAAATTACATTTATTACAAGGCCCACTTGATTGAAAGCGATTTTGTCACAAACCGAATGTTTTTCGAGATTTTTCCTCATTTTCCGATGAATTTGCAGCCTAAAAAAGTAACAAATTCCCATTTTTAATGTTAATTTGATTGTATTTAAAAAAAAAAAAAAACAATAATTATAGTGAGTGAGAGAAAAAAGGAGATAAAATAGGATTCGTTTTCAAAAGCAGCAAATGCGATTATAAATGAGTCAGACAAAGAGAGAGATAAAATAGGGTACAATTTAAATGCTTAGTCTGTCTAAAGGTACGGTTTGTTAGGAAAGTACGCGACGCACAATTGACAACGTAAACGTCGTCATTGGTTCAGATATGACGTACACCCGTTATCTGACGCTTGTCTGACGCTGACGCTGACGTCAGAAAACGGGTGTACGTCATATCTGAACCAATGACGACGTTTACGTTGTCATTTGTGCGTCGCGTACTATCCTAACAAACCGTACCTTAAAAGTGGCAGAAAAAGACGCAAATTCGAAGTTCCGCACATAAAACCACCTTTTTTTATTAAAAAGGCCTTGGAAAAGCGGAAAGTCTAAAGAAAAACCAACGAAAATGACATTCCAAAGCCTGCTAGATAAAAATCAAAGTTTTCTCTACTTACCCCATTGAAAAGCAAAAATTTTTAACAAAAAATAAAAGAAATTTAAAGCCCCGCACTTTTGATCGGTTTTCGCGGGTTTCCCAATTGAAACAACCATGGAAAAGTTGAAAATTTACGGAAAACTGGATAAAAACGAAAACGTGTCATTCCAAATGGCCGATTGTCAAAAGTGGCAAATGATATTGAAAGCGACGTTTCCACATCTCACATAGGAAAATATGTTTCTTTGTTTGTTAGTTTGTTTATTAAAAAGCTGGCAAATAATTAATTGATAATGTTAATAAATATTAAGATTGTCGAAATAAGGCATTGGAAACTTGTTTTTAGTTTAATTTCAATGAAAATGACATTGCAAGGCCTACTTGATAGTGAGTAAGACAAAGAAAGAAATAAGGTAGGATACAATTGCAAAAACAGAATTTCCTTCTCTTTTTATATGTTTTTCTTCCAAGATGAATTTTGTGTATTGTGTGTTTATGTTTAAAAGAAAACAAGAATTTAAACGCCTAACGTTTGGAATAGACAAAAATTAAAAGTTATAAATTAAGTAATAATGAAATATTTAGTTCTGAAGACGTTTTTACGTAGACGTCTGAAAGACGTCGGATTTTGTTAACATATAACATCTTTGAAATGTTTTCAAGATTCCTTGAAGGCGAATGTCGTTTGTTGACATTTTATGGACGTCTTTAAAATGCCTCTGTGTTCTAAAGTTTTCAAATTGTTCTGAAAGATTACAGAAAATGCTTTTGGAAATTCTGAATCGAATTTTAAGTGTTTTGAACTTTCTAGAATGCCTATTGAAGTTTTGAAGTGTTCTGTAGTGAAATTTGTAAGAAAAAATTTTCTAGTATTAACTTCAATTCAATTGAAACTAGATGCCCTATAACTATAATTATGCAAGAGGAAAATTCTTCTGCCCAATGAAATCGAGTTTCCTTTCTAACCTTCAAACAACTTTGGCCGCCATCTTGTTTTTCACTTGAATAAAACTTTGGATATTAAAAAAATATCTAACATTTTTTAATCCCAGATCCCAGATCTTATAAGGTAAATTCACCAATCCTCTGATAACTAACCGACTAAAAGGATCCGCTGTTACTGACAGTTAATCAGCCAGGCTCAAATTCTAAATTTTAGTATTACATAAAAGCAACTTAAAATAATAAATTTTAAAAACATTTTTAAAACAAAATTCTCACCTGTGGTCCTTGTGAAGCAAAAGGCTTGGCGGATAAGTTGTGTCCGGTACCGATGGCACCGATATTTTCGCCGGGTACCGCCGCCAAAGACGTCTTAGTGACGGTACTAACGTTATTGATCGACGGCGACGGTTTCGTTTGTGCTCCGATCGGAACGACTGAAGGTTTCCACGTCGAACCGCCTCTGTAACAATCGAGAAAAATTCGATTTTCAATTTTGATTTGGGCAATCGACCAAATCGTATATTGTTGAAGATCAAGGTTTTAATTGACCGATATTGATGCCAAGAATTGATTTGATTTCATCTAATTTTTAAAGGCCAGTATTCATCAATCATTGAAACTTAAAGTTAATTTTTATCTGTCTTATCAGAGACGCCATTTTGTGATTCTCAATTGACATAAAACAATCAAAAATTAACTACAAAATGGCGGATTTATGGTATCAAAAATTGATTCATTGAGTGATTATTACTGGCTCTTGATCTGAATCAAGAGCCGGAAATAATCAAAAAATAAACGTTGAAAAATTCAATTTTGACGCCATTGTGTAACAATGAAACATCAAAAAAAAAATGGCGGGGTTATGTTGTTGCTACAACAAATCCACTCTTCTTTTTTTTTTTGATACTATACTAACGCCATCTCTGAAAGATATGCATTACCTAATATTGTTTATTAATTTAATCTATAGTAACAACATTTATTAATAAATTCTAACAAACAAACAGGCGTATAAATATGACAAGTCGGTATTACAAGAGCTCCCCCTAGTCGATATTACAGAGATCACTAAGCTAACAGACATCAATTTTCGCCCTCTAGCGATGTAATATGTCAGATCACAGTGACATAATTAGGGAGCCTTTTTTCGGACTAAAATTGATGATAATAGGAAATACAATTTGATAGTTACCTTTGGATGGCCATTTCGAAACTGTTTCCCGCTCTGACGATGACGTCTTGGGCCTCTTTGTGCAACAAATTGTAGACGTCGACGTTGTTTATCCTAATGACGGCGTCGCCGGCAATTAGACCTGCGCGTTCCGCTGGAGATCCGCCATTTACCTGAAAAACGGTTGTAGATAAAACTTTGTACCGGACTTAATTCAATAAAAATGTCAAGTTATATAGTTTAAGTGCCAAATAGAACGAACAAAAAATGAATATTAGATACCAACAATATACTTAAACTAAAACAAATTATTATATTTTTATCTCCTTTTAACTGCATATTTTAGAAAAAAATAAATATACAATACGTCAGTCAATTCGTTTTTCACTTAAAAAACATTTGAATCAATTAATATTTTGTTATTTTTATCTCTTTTCAACTACAGACTCTAGAAAGAGTTGTATATATTATATGATACGTCAATATATTTGTTATTAATCTGAAAAACATCTGGATCAGTTATAGATAAAATGTTGTATTATACATTCGAGTCTTGCCTCAATAAAACCAAAAACTAAATATTACCAACTACTGAAATAAAATATTTCTAATTTTATTATTTTTATCTCCCTTTAACTGCAGGTTTAAGAAAGAGTTAGATATACAAAACGTTAATAAATTCGCCATTTACTTTGAAAAACATCCGGATCGGTTATAGATAAAATTTTGAATTATACATTCAATTCATGCTCTAATAACACGAAAAAATAAATATTGCTAATATTACTGAAATGAAATATTTCTATTTTTATTATTTTTATCTCCCTTTATCTGCATGCTTTAGAAAGAGTTAGACATACAATACGTCAATTAATTCGCTATTTACTTTGAAAAACATCTAGACTGGTTATAGATAAAATTTTGTATTATACATTGTGCAATAAAAATGTCAAGTCGTACTTCAATAAAACCGAAAACTAAATATTACCAATTACTGAAATAAAATATTTCTAATTTCATTATTTTTATCTCCCTTTAACTGCAAGCTTTAGAAAGAGTAAGATATACAAAACGTTAATGAATTCGCCATTTACTTTGAAAAACATCCGGATCGGTTATAGAAAAAATTTTGAATTATACATTCAATTCATGCTCTAATAACAGGAAAAAATAAAAATTGCTAATATTACTGAAATGAAATATTTCTATTTTTATTATTTTTATCTCCCTTTATCTGCATGCTTTAGAAAGAGTTAGACATACAATACGTCAATTAATTCGCCATTTACTTTGAAAAACATCTAGACTGGTTATAGATAAAATTTTGTATTATACATTGTGCAATAAAAAGGTCAAGTCGTACCTCAATAAAACCAAAAACTATATATTACCAACTACTGAAATAAAATATTTCTAATTTCATTATTTTTATCTCCCTTTAACTGCAGGCTTTAGAAAGATAGTTAGATATACAAAACGTTAATGAATTCGCCATTTACTTTGAAAAATATCCGGATCGGTTATAGATAAAATTTTGAATTATACATTCAATTCATGCTCTAATAACACGAAAAAATAAATATTGCTAATATTACTGAAATGAAATATTTCTATTTTTATTATTTTTATCTCCCTTTATCTGCATGCTTTAGAAAGAGTTAGACATACAATACGTCAATTAATTCGCTATTTACTTTGAAAAACATCTAGACTAGTTATAGATAAAATTTTGTATCATACATTGTGCGATAAAAATGTCAAATCGTGCCTCAATAAAACCAAAAACTAAATATTACCAACTAGGTACTAAAATAAAATATTTGTTATTTCATTATTTTTATCTCCCTTTAACTGCAGGCTTTAGAAAGAGAGTTAGATATACAAAACGTTAATGAGTTCGTCATTTACTTTGAAAAATATCCGGATCGGTTATAGATAAAATTTTGTATTATACATTATGCAATAAAAATGTCAAGTCATACCTCAATAAAACCAAAAACTAATAAATATTACCAACTACTGAAATAAAATATTTTTTATTTTATTATTTTTATCTCCCTTTAACTGCAGGCTTTAGAAAGAGTATGATATACAAAACGTTAATAAATTCGCCATTTACTTTGAAAAATATCCGGATCGGTTATAGATAAAATTTTGAATTATACATTCAATTCATGCTCTAATAACACAAAAAAATAAATATTGCTAATATTATTAAAATGAAATATTTCTATTTTTATTATTTTTATCTCCCTTTATCTGCATGCTTTAGAAAGAGTTAGACATACAATACGTCAATTAATTCGCTATTTACTTTGAAAAACATCTAGACTGGTTATAGATAAAATTTTGTATCATACATTGTGCGATAAAAATGTCAAGTCGTACCTCAATAAAACCAAAAACTAAATATTATCAACTACTGAAATAAAATATTTCTAATTTTATTATTTTTATCTCCCTTTAACTGCAGGCTTTAGAAAGAGTATGATATACAAAACGTTAATAAATTCGCCATTTACTTTGAAAAACATCCGGATCGGTTATAGATAAAATTTTGAATTATACATTCAATTCATGCTCTAATAACACGAAAAAATAAAAATTGCTAATATTACTGAAATAAAATATTTCTAATTTTATTATTTTTATCTCCCTTTAACTGCAGGCTTTAGAAAGAGTATGATATACAAAACGTTAATAAATTCGCCAAAATAAATATCTGGATCGGTTATAGATAAAATTTTGAATTATACATTCAATTCATGCTCTAATAACACGAAAAAATGAATATTGCTAATATTACTGAAATGAAATATTTCTATTTTTATTATTTTTATCTCCCTTTATCTGCATGCTTTAGAAAGAGTTAGACATACAATACGTCAATTAATTCGCTATTTACTTTGAAAAACATCTAGACTGGTTATAGATAAAATTTTGTATTATACATTGTGCAATAAAAATGTCAAGTCATACCTCAATAAAACCAAAAACTAAATATTACCAACTACTGAAGTAAAATATTTCTAATTCTATTATTTTTGTCTCCCTTTAACTACAGGCCTTAGAAAGAGTTAGACATACAAAACGTCAATAAATTCACCTTTTACTCTGAAAAACATCCGGACCGGTTATAGATAAAATATTGCACTATACATTGTGCAATAGAAATGTCAAGTCATCGAACCTCAATAAAACTATTGAAATAAAATATTTCTAATTCCATTATTTCTATCTCCCTTTAACTGTAGGCTTAAGAAAGAGTTAGATATACAAAACATTGATGAATTTGCCATTTACTTTGAAAAACATCCGGATCGGTTATAGATAAAATTTTCTATTATACATGGTGCAATAAAAATGTCAAGTCATACCTCAATAAAACCAAAAATTAAATATTACCAACTACTGAAATAAAATATTTCTAATTTTATTATTTTTATCTCCCTTTAACTGTAAGCTTTAGAAAGAGTTAGGTATACAAGACGTCAATTAATTTGCCATTTACTTTGAAAAAAATCCGAATTGGTTATAGATAAAACTTTGTACCAAACATGTCAATTAAAATAGTGAGTACTACTAACCAACTATTGACATAATATAGTTCTATTCTTTTATCAACAATTTTTTTATTTTTATCTTTGTTTAACTAAAGGTTTTAGAAAGAGTTAGACATACACGATACGTCAATAAATTATTATACAAATCTTTTATTTTAGTAATATTTATGTTAGCGACCTGCTAGTGACATTGTTGCCAGGTTTATTATTTCCCTATGAAGTGAATAATTTATTAATTGAATTCAATTATTTTCCTACAAGAGTATTATAAATTTATGCACAAGCCATTGTCTTGTGTTTTGTGTTTCTATAATTAATATTATAATTATTACAATATTTTATTATAAATTCTACTTTAATTTTAGAGGAAAGTTTCATATTTTCGTGACAATTTGGCAACAGGGGTAGTATTGCATTTGTATATTTTAACTTCAAGGGCTGGTTTATTCACTTGATAAAAACGTAATTTGTAATTTTATTGGTCAGCCAATTATTTACTAACCAATAGTATTATAGATTGGTAAATTCATTTTACAGATAGTTATCAGCAAGTTTAACTAAAGACGAATAAACCAAGCCTAAATGTATTGCAAGGAAAATAACTGTTTTTTTAATTGATTTAAATTACAATAAATAATATGATGGTTAATTAGTGTAAATTGCACATTAATTACTATGCATTAGGCATTGAACCTTTTCAGTAATTACAATAATTTATTATTTTAACATCAAAAATGAATCAAGGTTTCAAGATTTTTCCTTAAATTTCCAGGAAGACATTTTTTTTTTTACTCTATTTTGTTTAATCGAGGAAGGTTAGGAATAGACAAAAATTGAGACTGAGAAGTAGAGAAAAAAAAATGAAAAATAAAGAGGAGAGCTAAAGGAAATTGAGGAAAAATAATACAAAAATTGAAGAGCCAGGAATAGACAAGAAATGCAGATACAGAAATGGGAACCAGAAAAGAAATTCATGGTTAAATGAGAAAAATTGTTAGGCAAAGAGATTTAGAAGATTATTCCACTCATGTGTTAGAAATCCCATAAGACAAGTGACGATTTTCAGAATTACAGCGAAAATTATCTTTTCCATTTGTTTAACTAGAGCGATAATTGTCCCATGTTGCTCATCTGCCAGTATTTCTCGGAACAAGGAGGCTGACTGAGTTCGGCTTTGCACTCCACGGAGCGAAACGGGATATCGTGACGTCATACACGGTCATAAGCCCAACGCAAAAGAGAACACTCTGAAAACTAAAACGAACAGGATCTTATCGTTTCGAGCGTGCTTAGAGTTTACAGAGTGTGAAGCCGAACTCAGCCTGAATTGCAAGCATTCCATCGGGGTCTGCGGGTGATGTCGTCACGGAAAGCTACTGATAATGACGTCAATCACAGACCCAGAATTGGATAAGGGGGAGTTAGGGGAGCGACACAATTAACACCCACCGATAAAACTACTAATTTTTGAAAAATAACTTTTGTTGGTTTTTTTATTACCCCAACTAGAAAAATTATACATTTATTTTTCCTATGAGTGCTCTGCACCCAAAATATATTTAGTATGGGTGCTTGCGCACACGTAGCACCCATGGAGTCGGCGCCTATGA